TTCAAAGGAGGTGTAGCAGATTTCTGAAAAGAAAAAATATTTCTGCGCATACTAGAACAACAGTCGGGCAACAATTACCAATGGACTGGCAGGATAAAAAGGCATCTTTTCTAAAATATGTGACATATATTATTGACAAAGAAAAAAACTTCTTCGGTCACAGATAATAAATATGGATGAAACGCCGTTAGCTTTCGACTCTCCTGCAAACAGAACTGTTGATGAAACTGGTGCAAAAACTGTATCTGTGCTTACGACGGGGCATGAAAGAACATCATTTACATGTGTGTTAGCTTGTGCAGCAAACGGTGACAAGCTAAAGCCGATAATCATTTTTAAACGAAAGACTATTCCGAAGGGAGATTTTCCTAATGATGTAATTATCTGTGCAAACGAGAACGGCTGGTTGTGCGAAACAATCATGCACAAGTGGCTAAAAAAAGTTTGTTAGTGTCGTATGGGATCTTTTTCCAACCAAAAGGGTTATTGATAATGGATTCCATGCGTGTTCATTTACTTGAGTCAGTGAAAACCAGATGTCAAAAATTGTCTACGACCGAAGCAATGATTCCTGGTGGTTTGACAAAAATCTTACAACCATTAGATTTGTCAGGTAATAAATCCTTCAAAGCTGAAGTCCGAAAGCAGTGGGAGTGTTGGATGAGTGAAGGATTGCATACGTATACCAAAAGCGTTAAAATGCGTAGAGCATCTTATGAAGAAGTTGCAAAGTGGGTAGGAAGTGCGTGGAAATCGGTAAAAACATCGTCAATAATAGCAGGGTTCAAAGAAGCTGAAATTATATCCTTAGATAAAGAGACTGTAAACCAAGAGGATGAATGTGACGATCTGGAAGACTTAGATCAGGATTTACTAAATCTTTTTAATTCAGATAGTGAAGAATCAGATTTTGATGGCTTGATATGATGTATAGTTTGCTGTATTTCCTTTTGTAAGTAAAATTTAAAATTTCTTTTTGTCTTCCAAATTTAATATTTCGTTACTGCAACACTTTTTATAATATAGTCTGAGTATTACAAATATAGACTTCTTTAGTGGGTAAATATAAGTTTATACGTGAAGGTAAATATATTTTCCATATTTCTTACTTTTAATTTATTTTTGAGTTATGGTTTCATTTCATGCATTTTTCTTAACTGGTATATCATATATCAGGACTTAGGTTGAGATTTTGCACCTATACGGCGCACGACGATGTCACGCGCAATTTAATCTATTGCGGCATTTATGCTGATACGGCGTTTCTGTGCAATTTTAATTTTTTTCCCGTCATTTTTCTTGAGTGCGCCGTTTACGCTGATGCGGCCTTTCTTCCGGAAATTACGGTAAATCACTTTTTTTCCTTTTAGATTATTATTTTATGAATTTACAATAAAAGGTTATTTTTAAAAACCTTTGTTTAACATGATTTTAATTTTAGATTGCCTTATTACCTTTGCAGTTTAATAAAACTATTAAAATAAACATATTTGAAAGTAAACTTATATCAGATTCATTTCTGGATCCCAAAATCACAATAAAACTTTAATATTCAATTGATTGACAAACATTAGCCTAACTTCTATATACAGAAACATTCTCTAAGATGACCACCTACATTTCCAAGATTTTGGTCATCTTTGGAAATGGTCATATCAAGAAGTTTTGCATATTCTAATTATTGAAGATCAGCACAATTACATTACCTGTTTCCTAAAATCTGCAGGAATTCCATCTGGAAGACGTGCCACCATTTTCATTGCATCTTTCCATAATACAAAACTACTACTATCAGGTGAACATCTTATTCTTAAATCACTTTCTATACCTATAATTAAAGATCAATACAATACAAAAATAAAAATTATTTAATACCACCTAAAACATAAGGAAGATTAATCATAAACTCAGTCTCAGATGTCTACTAGCAACTTAATAAAACTTTGTACATAAGGAAATAAAACGAAGATAATATTTATATAACGCAAAATCAGTTTTCTTACATTTACTGTCCTGCTTAGAACAAAATACATAATGTATAGTAATAACTTTTATAAAAAAGAAACATCAAAATATATAAATATATTAAAAATAGTGTTTGATTATTTAAATAGCCACATGTTACACAGTAAAATTTAATTTAGTTATATATAATATTATCAATAATTTTTTTCAGAAATATAAGGTAAACTTTTCCTCAGAAATTGAAAAAGTTGAGAAATCTGACAAACTTACTTTCACAGAGCTTTATAGAAAATAGCTCGAGTATTTTGCAACAATAAATAACTTAAGCTTCAACAATAAATAACTTAACTCAAAAGATAGGTGCTTAAAATATACACGACACCACTTAGTACATTAAAAAAAAAAAAAAAAATTGTAACATTGTTAATTTCAATAAAGCTTGTGTTTGACTACTTATTTAAACAAAATGCTTTTCTTTAAGGATTTTTAATAGGAACTGCTCATATTTATACAGTGTCTACAAAACAAAAACAAACAATAAAAAAATCATACGAATAAGCTAATTCTTCTAAGAATAAAACTATGCAGTGAATTTTTCTTCATTGTATATGCAGTTCCTAAGGATTATTAATAATAAATACATATTTTTATAGCTTTACAGAAGAAAGCTGCTCGGCTAATCTTTGGAATATGGTAACAGGTAGTTTAGAGACATTTTGGTAAGGCAATAAAGTTTACTAGCTAGGACTAGGAGTAGTGTACATGGATAAAGTCAAGAGTGTGCACAATGCCATTTTTGTGCAATTCTGGGATGTTTCTTTAAGTGAAAATAGGTCGACGTGTACATGGATACCGTGTATGTGCAATTCTTAAAAACACGGCAAGCAGTTTGCGATTCTGCACTTTCTCCCAATTTCGCACCTAATCTTTGATTATTTGCCATGATTCAGCAGTTTTGTTCCATAAAAGTTCTAGCATAAGCGTAATTTAGCTAGCAGATTGTTGGAAAAAAATGTTGAGTTAAAAAAAAAAAATGCCTTTACTTCGTGAAAACAAAATGGTGTCCAAACAAAAGCTAGCAGGGTTGGTAGCCAAATTTTCACCAAGTTACCATAATCCAAAGATTAACCAGCTGCTCTTTGAAATCTTTTGCAAGCCAACTGGCATAAAACACAGTAGTTACCACTAGATTATATATAAGAAATATTTTTATCATCTCTAAACCTCTCTAGAAACCTCTACCAATTCATATCAAATAAATTTAAAAACTTAAAACAATAGTAAAAGTTTTCAATTTTGATGAACGCACACCCCAAATGAACAGAAACAACATACATGATGCAGCTTCACAACGTCAAACTGGAAGACAAAAGTACAGCAAAAAGTTTAGATATCATTAAAACAAAAATGGTGCCTTAAGATGAGTTATTGAAGATCAGGTAGTGGAAGATTGGGATAACGGTAAAATCCTAGGAGAGCCCACACCCCTGGTGACAAACTGGGAAAGTGCGCACTGCTTCGAGCATTTCTCAAAATCTCCAACTTGAAAATAACAAGTCAAAGAATTGTACAAACACGGTTCCATGTACACATCAACCTATTTTCACTTAAAAAAACATCAGAGAATTGCACAAACTTGGCATTGCACACTCCCTTGACTTTGTCCATGTACACATCGATACACGTCATAACTAAAATCATTCGCGTCAAGGGTGTGGGCTTTGCTAGGATTCAACTGGGGATAACTATAATTGACAATTCTCTCAATGAAACTGGGCAGTCGGCAAGAGAATTACTGACTATATGCATTAGGTTATCATGTTTAGAATTTCTCTGCCTAACCTAATGTTGCCTAACCCAACATCCCCATCTGCTCTGAATGATATGAAAAGTTTGAAATAAACAGCATGCTTGACTTCCTACAAATACATTTATCTCCCCCCCCCAGTTTGCTGTTCTTTACAGGCAATCAAAAAACACAATAAACGTTCTAAGCCTATGTTATGTATGTAGGTATGTTTCATCATTAAAGTCACATTTTTATTCAATCATTGAGGGAAAAACTGTTTTTCACAAACCCAATATTTCAAAGAAAAACTGATCTCCTCTTGAAAGTGAGAATCCAGACTTATTTTATACATCGAAAAACCACTAATGTATCTCTTTCACATGAGCATGCTTTCGTAAAAATGAAGGTTAGCTGAAATTTAGCATGAGAATTATAAACAATATTTCCTACACGTAGCAAAAGAAGTAAGAATAAAATTGTTTTTAATACACAAAATCTTATTAATAAATGAAAATTTGAAGAATGTTTTTTAAATGGCATAAAACGAATTAAAAAAATAGCTGTAAATATATACAAAATAGGTTTTTGATAAAAATATACTTCTAAATTCGAACTCGTTCTAAAGTCAACTATATACCGGTACTCATCTTAAAAATTAGCGTTTCTATCAAAACTGTATGACTTGATAATGACAGTTTTATGGGTATTTATTTGCTTATAAATTGCGATCAATTAAAAAAAGGAATTTTACTTAATTATCCATAGCTATATAAACAATAAAATAATAACACGTTAATTCATAATGACGTCAAAATTTGTCACCAAAACAATTCTTTTCAAACATTTTGTTTTTTAAAACTTATGTTTGAAATAAGCAAACTTCTCCCTATTCACCTTTAGAACTTAATTTACTATCACAACTTTCACCAGGAGATATTTCGGGCATTTTTGAGTTTACGGATAAACTTTTTAGAGCAGACGTTATTATTTTGCTCATGCTCCTCCATTCAGACAGATGGTTTGGTTTTCTGTACGAATACGGTTACTTTTCGGAATTTTTTTGATTAAAAAAGAATATTAGCTATAATAAGTATTTCAGACTTATAAATAAAAAATAATGATATTATATGAATTTTCCTTCCCAAACACAGTAGAAATATAAATTAAAATTTTAGTTATAAGTTTATTATTAAAATCAAAATTATGTCTGTTCATCGTAATCGTAACGTAGGGTTTTCTGCATGTGTTTGTTTTTGAAGTGTTTACTATATTTTGGAAGTTCAAAATAATATTTCTCAAGAGGAATAAAGTCTCTACTAAGTACTTACCATGACTTCCGAAGACGGTAGATTGGTTGGAAAAATTGCTTTTTGTTCAGTTCTGTGTGCTGGATTTGCTTATGCAGGTTATAACGTTGTGTCAAAAATGTGCTACAAAAAGTCTCGTAGAAAAGAAAATAGCTTTTCTCAGACAATGATAGAAGGTTTGTATTATCTAACTTTTTAAGACGTTATTAATTTTTATACTCTCTTAGTTGTCATGGTTTTTAAACTTAAAGATATTACATTTTGTCGGAATTATTTTTTGCCGGAAAATGTCGGAATCAATAAATAGCTCTTCCTGATATTTCATTACCTGTTAGCTTTTCGTCATATATTATGCCAGAATTTTCTCAATAAGTTTTTGTAAGTGTGTGTCTTATATTTTATAAGTATTTTTAAATAAGCATATGTCGTATATTTTATATTTTGAAGTATAATTAATACCTATTCGAACTACTTCAAACTGAATGTATTTGAAGTTATTTGATTTTGAAATTTCATTCTTAAAAATGTATTCTGTTTGCAACTAGCGGAAAATGCTGCAAATTGGGACAAATATGCTTGAAAAGCTGTCAATCTTCTGCGTGATGTTTGATGATAAATGCTTGAAAACTTTGAAATTTATTTGACTGTGAACCGATAAATTGTTTGGGGTAGAGTTTAAGGTACCCCTTATATTATGGCGAAGTTGTTGTTTGATTTATCGCCAAGTTGTTGTTTCATTTATGGTAGCCTGAGTAGTTGAATGTTATAGAAACCCTATTGTGACGTAATCGGGTGCATGATTCTGGGAAATTTTGAATCATGGGATGTTTTGTAAGCGTTTTTGTGGTGTGTGTTGGTTTGATTCTTTAGACGGTGGAATGACCGAATGTAGTAAGATTAATTTGAAGTTTCTGTACAATTTGGAGCGAAAGGGGAAAAGAGCTTTAATTGACTGGTGTGTAAATGAAGGTTTACTTAGTAGCTCTTATAAGTGCCTGTATGTAGGAAGGATATGCCTCTAGTCGAACATAAAAACCATTTAGATGGATTTGAATGGGTTTGTAGGAAGAAAGGTTCAGATGGTCACTATGTGAAGCGTTCGATCCGAAAGAGTACCTGGTTTCTGATCGAACGTCATTTGTCATTTGAAAAAAAGTCATTTGAATATGATTGATATTTTGATTTTTACGTGGCTCTGGGTGTACGAAGTGAACTTGAAAATCATGGTAAGTGAATATTTGCTTTTCGTAGTGCTTAAATGTATCACATGTTTTTCCTTTTTTATGTTATTCTATTGTTTGGTTTAAAATTTATTTTATTGAGATTATGTATTTTTTGTTTGCCTATATTGTAGAATTTGGTGCTCTTGAGACTTTTTAAGTGAAAAAATATTGATGTGTACGTGGACAAAGTAAGGGGAGTGCACAATGCAAGTTTGTGCAATTCTGTGATTTTTTTTTAAGTGAAAATAGGTCGACGTGTACATGGATAAAGTTAAAAGAGGTAGCAATGCTATTTTTGTGCAATTCGGAGATTGTTTTTTAAGTGAAAATAGGTCGACGTGTACATGAATAAAGTCAAAGGAATGCGCAATGCCATTTTTGTGCAATTCGGGGATTTTTTTCTAAGTGAAAATAAGTCGATGTGCACATGGATACCGAGTTTGTGCAATTGTTTGTCTTGTTATTTTGGCTTTGTGTAGCGCCGATTTTTGGCGCAAAAATTTTTGGCCGTTTCGCAAGCCAAAATAACTAGTCGAAGAATTGCACAAAATCGTTATCCATGTACCGCCAAATTTCGACAAGGGGTACCCTAAACTATACTTTTACCATTGTTTGTTGTAATTTATTGTGAATTTTCACTATCTTTGTATTAAGTCCACCAGTTGAAGAGAGGATATCCTCTTTAAATACTATTAAGTCTCATGCTGATTCAATTCCTGGAGTTGAGACTGACTATGATTATTTGGTTATATCTAAGATTAAAAACTGTACTCTTCTGCTATCAAAACCAGATTGAGAAATGTATGCATATATGTGTGTGTGTGTGTATGCACACACGTGCATATGTGCATATGTACTTGCATGCATACATACATGCATATATACATACATGCATTTCTGAATCCTGAATAGGGTCCTGCTAACAGAAGAGTACCTTAAAAATGAACCAGTTTCCTGATTCTCTGCAAAATCTTTTAGAATAGATAGTTATGAAATACTCTTGTCATAATCACCTAACTTATCATACATACCTGTGCATTAACATGCAAGGTGCTGTCTATAATATTCTGTGAGGTGCTCTCTATAATCATTTAGCAATTCTCTATTTCCTAAGAAAGGTAAGCTGTAGTTCAGTTTAATAGTAATATTCTTTTTCCATGAAGTTTATTGCATTTCTCCATCTTTTGAAGAACATAGCTAATTTAGATTCTGTCTATTTATCATGATTTATAAATAATAGAACAAAAAATAAGTAAGATTTTTTTTTTAATTCTAATGTATACATAGAGAGAGAAAGAGAGTTGAAAGAAAGTTAATGGGAATAAATTTCCCTTTTTATTCTCGAAGTTGTATTTTTTTTCTGTATTCACTATGTGCTGTTTTTACGTAAAAAGATAGCATAAAATCTTCAGAAGCACTGATCACTACATTTTTATATGAAGGAACAGAATAAAAGACTTGTATTAAATTATTACTTTCAGTGAAGGTGTATGTAGTAATGTTGTTTTCGATGTTGTGACTTGTCTGACAGTAACATTGGAACAAACCCACAAAATTGATCATGGCAAGGAGTGCAAGACTGTCTTTGGCAAGAGCCTTGAGCATAAAGTGACCACACGTCCCACGTTCTGCCGATTTTTAAAAATGTCCCGCCTTTTTAGAAAACATCTTACATTTCTTATTTTAAATGTACCGTAAAAATATATTAACTATTAATTATTATAGTGAATATAAAGAAATAAACACATAAAATGCATGCAGAGTAAACTAACTTAGGCGATGTGACGAGTTAAATTTACTCGGTGTTGTTCGATCATTGTCGTTATGTCTCATCAAGGAATATGCATTGTTAACGGAAGAACAGCTAGCAATAGCTGAAGTGCTATTTGTCTTCCACAGCATAAACTACAAAGTTTCAGATCAATTGATTGTACATCGCAAATGATCAAAACATTGTACGACAAAAAATTTACACGTGGAAGGACAAAAATCAAAGCAATTATTTGCGATGTTTTTTCACCATATTCGTTTTTCACAATTGCAGAAAGAATTAGATAAATGCACATTTTATGTCCATATATTATGATGCTTCCAACCACAAAGATTTAAAATTATTTTTCAGAATTGTTAGACTTTTGATCCAGAAACACGAATTAAAATTAGAATATTAGATTTTGTTTCGTTGCCGGGTGAAACTTTTTTTTCCCCAATGGTGTATTGTAAACAGTTACAGTTTTGTAACAGAACCCATTAATATATACTAAGGCCAGACGTCGTGGTCTCTTTATTATGAAGGCACCTAATAGATCGGCCACCATTGCCTCCTGTGAAGGGACAGACAGTTACAACCATGACTTCTCCAAGATTCAAACCCAGCCCCTTCGGTATCTTAGTCAGGCTCTCCCATCTAGCCACCATGTGGGCAGCTGCCAGGTGAAACTTCATAAATAATTTTTCATTCAGTAAGTACTATTTTAGAAAAGAATAATTTGAACAATAAAATTATTGCCTATTGTGAAACAATAATTTTATTGTTGACACTAACGCAAATTTTGGTGGAAAAGCTAGAAGAGGCATCAATAACGTTTTTATGAAACAAGCTTTTGAACCAAAAAATTATTCGAGTAGGTTGTGCAGTGCACATTCTACACAATACTATTCAAACAGCATCTGACTTACTTTTAGTGGATGTTGAAAATATTATTTCAAAAATTTATTCTTATTTTTATATATGTACTGTGCATGCCGAAAGTTTGAAGGATTTTTTTGAAAGTGCAGAAATCGAATATGAAATAATTATTGGTAACAGCAAAACACAATGGCTAGCTTTTTTACCAGCTGTATAAATTATTAAAAAATATATGAACCATTAAAATCATACTTTTTATCATGAGATAAATGCCCAAGAATATTGCCGCTCTTTCTTGAAAATGACACATCACAAATTTGGCATCAGTTCTTCCACAACCAAGCTACATTATTTCACAATGCTGTGAAAATTATTGAAGAGGACAAAATTTCAATTACAGAAGTGTCAAATGAAATTGATAATATAAAAACAAAATTGCGAGAAAGAACTGATAACAATTACGTTCCTTTAGTTATTCAAAAGGACATCACTAGGCTGGAAGAACAAGGTGCCATATTAAACGATATAAACCTGATTTTCTGAATATATAAACCTGATTTTCTGAAAGAAGTCAGAAATTTTTATAATAACTGCTTGGAATATCTTGATGAACGGACAGTTCAATTCGAGGATATTAAAAAATTCCATTGGGTGACATTAAAAAAGAAGATTTTATGAGAATATGTGGAAAAATCTTTTTTATATATTAGTAACTATTTTCCAAAAAATAATATTTGTGAAAATGATCTTTTTGATGAGGTGTCATTGGTAAAAAGATGCATTACTGATGAAAAAATTAAATGTTTGTTGTCTGCAAATGTGGAAACAGACAAAAAATGGACGAAGTTATTGCTTCATTTTAAACAGAATAATATTTTGAAAATTGTAGAACACATGCTCTCTCTTCCAGGAACAAGTGCAGCAACAGAATGTGTTTTTTATAGTATCAATAAAATGTTGACAATTGAAAAAGCGCAGTTGAACATTAAAACTTTAAAATCTGTATTAAGCCGAAAATATAATTTGCTCAATTCGTGTGAGAAATTTCATGACATTTTAATAAATGATCCGAATCTATTGCAAAGTATTCACTTGGATAAAAAATATAACTGTGAAAGAAAATCATAATTTTTTCAAAATAAAATATTAAATTAATTAAAAAACACAATATTCAAATTATTGTTTTTTACAAATAGTTTTATAGTTACCAATTGTTAATAATATATATATTTTTGTATATTTATAGACAAGTATATGAATGTATATAATAAAATATATTTTTTTGAATTATTGGTGTTCTTTTATAACTAAATTATAATTCTCATTTCATTCCATTTGTCCCACTTTGTCTCAATGAAAATGTGGTCATTTTATTTGAGCACCATGCAGGTGACATTAGGAATTTGCTCAGGTCTGCCCCCAATTTTGATAGAGACCACCCGGGGGAAGGGACAAGTCCGAGGTTCTCCCAGCTGTGTTTCCCTACCTCTAACTTCGCAAGTGGACTTCCACCTCACTGCATATTAGAGTGCTGCACAGACACTATACATTTACAAACATCCATGCCTTCTCCAGGATTCGACAGGAGTCAGCATTGCTAACCACTATCCCAGTTGGGTAGCTGTTGTTGTTGTTAAATGTTATGTTTTGGTGTTTCAGACTGGTATGAAGCCAAAGCTTGGGATATTTTTTAGAAATTTCTTCATATTTATTGATACTTTAAAAAAAATCTTGGCAAAGGAAAATGATTCATATATATATATATATATATGGGAAAAAACTGTTGGTGCTTTTTATATGGTTTTGTTTCAGTATTATAATCATATTTAAGAAAATTGGTGGTAATTTTTATGGATAGACTGTTTCCAGTATTATAATAATAATACTTTTTAATCTAATAAAATCATGTAACATGAATATAAAAAGTAAACAAATTTTTAACATTTTATCCGTTTTGATTATTGAATTGCCGAAGCGCTAAATTAGAGACTTTTTTTAATTATCTTTTCAACTGATTTTAGAAACTATAACAGCAACTGTTTATTTTAATAGATGTATCATTGCCTGTACCTGTTAAAATATTTTAAGTAAATTAAAATTTTTAATCATGCATATTTACTCTTTTAAATCTTTTAGCAAATGTTGCAACCTTGAGCACAAATAAGGCAACACAGACAGATGGTTTGTCAAAGAGTAAATATGAGCTTGAAGACAGATGTATTTCTCCTATCAGTGTTAAAGAAAGAGTGAATGATTTAAACATGCTTACTGATCGACTAAGAAAAAACAGTATTCCTATTTCGCCTGAAGTTAAACCTCACAGTTTTCATGGCAGTCCTTGGAGCTCACCATTAGGATGTTCTAAGTACTTAAGTGTATCCGCTGAAAATATCAGTACACGAACCAGTCCTTTACCTGAGTACAAGGATAAAAGTCCACTGACATCTTCTCAAGGTGCTCTTCATGTGGATATACAATCAAAATTATCAAAACTTCATATTTCAGAGCAGATGATACCTTTAAGAGAGGATGCCATAACGCTGAAGTCTTTAAATAATTTACAGAAAATACCATCAAAAATGACATCATTTGAGGTAAAAAATCTTGTATTTCTTCTGCAGTCTGGAAATGAAGATATATTATTAAAAACTCTGTATACTGTTTCAAATTGTGCTGCTTTTACCAGAAACCAGGTAATTATAAGTATTTTGCATATATTAATATATGTTTATGCTAAATATATGTATCATTTATTATATATATGTATAAATATTTTAATGTCCTTATGTGTGTCTTCAGTTTTTCATTTTATTTCAGAAAACTTAAAATACTTTTGTTCAGAGTTTACAGTTTGTGTTTATTTTATTAAATTTATATTTTTGCTTTATGAATTTACCTGTTTATTTTCTAGTTTCCAACCAGAATATAAAATTTTGAAATGAAACTTTGTCAATTTGATGCTATGAATGAATTTCGTGGCTCATTTTAAATTTGCAGATTTTGTATGTATTGAGGCTATGCTGTTTATAAACAAATCCTGTTAAAAAAATTCCATGTTGCAATTTCCAAATATGGTAAGTTATTTGATTAAAAAGTGTCATAATGTAATGGAGAGGTAAAAAGCTTTGCATTTGGCTGTTGTAGTTATTTTAATTAATAACTGCTGAAACTACAATTTCAGATATTTTATGTATGAACAGAAACAAAAGGTTTGAGTATATTTAAGGGTGAACATTGGATTATCATTAAGTTGTTTCACTTATGGTAAACTGAATAGTTGAATGTTATGGAAACCCTATGATGAAGTGATTGGTTGCGTGATTGCGGTGAATTTGAATGACAGGAAAAGATTTGTATGGGATTGTTTGTGTGTTGGATGTTGGTTAGGATGTACGTTGGTTATTTTGTTGTTTACATGGTAAAATGGCTGAATGCGGTAAGATTACTTTTAATTAATGCAGTAAGATTAATTAAGTTTCTGTATGATTTAGAATGAAAGGGGAAAAGTATTGGTGTGTAAATGAAGGTTTACTTAGTAGCCGTTTTAAATGTCCTGTTTGTATGAAGGAAATGTGATTGGCCGAGCGTCGGAGGATACTGGCACTATGGAGGATATTTTTTCCTCCTGTTTTTGTGAATTTATATTGCAATGCCAGTATACAGATTCTAGTTCAGATAATTTTAGGAAGTTTTTGGATATATACAGTCAAAAGTCGTTAATCCGGACTCATCGGAACTTCAGCGATTCCGGATTATAGATCGTCAGTTTAAATCTGGTAAGATGGCATGCAGAAATTATAAAATTTAAAATATGAAACAGTAATTTATGAAATAAAGAACAATTATGATCTAAAGGGTATCAAAATTTACAAAAAAAAAAAAAAGCTTAATATTTATTTGTTTACTTTATTAAACATTTCCTTCAATGTAAGTTGTTTAAGTTGCTTCGTTTTATGTGATAATACTTTCTCTTTAATTCTATAACCAGACGTAATTTCCTCTTCAGTTACAAAGTTCCGCTGTTCAAGTCCTATCATTGCTGTGTCGAGAATACCGACTAATTTGTCAATCGAAATTTTTTCGTTTTCAATAACCTCTGTGTCACTTTCTTCACTATCGGAAGCGAATTATAATGAGGAGGAATTTGATTTAAATCATATCAAAGATGGAGTACATCGAGATAAAATACTACATTTAGTAAGGAATTATAAGCCAAATAAAATAAAACATCTGCTCTGAAGATAAGGATAGTGCTGACAGATCAACTTCCAATTGCGCTGCGGCGTCCCCCCTCCCCGCATGAAATTGATAAACAGATTTCGGAATGGTTAGAGAAACGAAGGATATGCCTTTATCCATTTTTTGCAGCGTTTCCACTTTTTGTTTAATGGACTTCGAAACATACTTTCGCTTTGTAGATCTTTTACATATTAGTAAATATATATCGGAAATTCTATTTGACATAATCTAAAGTTCAAGCTTACTTTTATGAAATTGCTCTAACAGTCTGCAAAAAATAATAAGCCGGATCCAATTCAAAGATTAAGGAACAATGCAATCTGCAACATTAACTGAATTAGATAATTTTAGCTTAGCTTATACCATCCATTATACAGTAAACGCGCATGCCCATACGCATATTCGCAGCCATAAAGGTCTTACGCGCATGCTGCAATGCGACGCATTAGCAGAAAGTTTGTAGCTTTGAGGTCCAGATTATAGATCATTCCGGATTATCTGTCTGAATTAACGACTTTTGACTGCATATATATGGGCTCTAGTGTAGAATTGGCTGCTCCTTTGACTTTTTAAGTGAAAAAGTCGATGTGTACATGGAGAAAGTCGAGGGAGTGCACAGTGCCAAGTTTATAAAATTCTCTGAGGTTTTTCAAGTGAAAATATGTCGATATGTACATAGATATTGAGTTTGTGCAATTCTTCGATTTGTTATTTTGGCTTTGTGTGGCAGCAATTTTTGCGTTACACAAAGCCAAAATAACAAGTCAAAGAATTGCATGAACTCCGTGTCCATGTACCTCCAAATATCACAAATTTTCACCAGGGGGACCCATAAATATATTTTTATGTACATGGATACTGAGTTTGTGCAATTCTTTGACTTGTTATTTTGGCTTTGTGTAACGGCGATTTTTGGTTCAAAAAATTGCCGCTACGCAAAGCCAAAATAGCAAGTTGCACAAACTCGGTGTCCACGTACCTCCAAAAATCATCAATTTTCACCAGGGGGCACCCATAAATATATTTTTACGAAACGAAGCAGTTATGTTTAAAAAGATTGAAGGAGTAAGTTAATAATGATCTATAATTTTACAATATAGAAATATTTTTATAATATGTATATATGTATGTAGTATAAGCTCTGTAAATAAAATATAAAATAATCTGATAGGGTGATCACTATATATTTGAATGATTCATAAAAGGGAGACTTAAAGATAAACATGCCCATTAATACAAAGATTACATTTACTGACAGATGTAACTAAAAACTAAGGTTTGACGGGTTTTCATACCCGGTTTTAGAAAACCAGTTTTTAAAGTAAATTTGTCACGTTCGAAAACCGTTTTAAAGAACTGATGTTATTATGTAAAAATTAATTTAAAACTTATTTAATTTACACTATTCATTCTATGCAACTGGAAGCTAAAAGTTATCCACCTTCAAAAGATAACTATGTGAAAGTTATTGACCATTTAAAGTTTGGATTTGGTAGAAAGGACTTATTGATTGAAGTTTACATTCAAGATCTTTTGGCGTTAGTAAATAACAAATCAGTCAACAAGTTAGCTGATTTATACAATAAACTTGGTTCATATCTACAATCAATAGAAACATTGGGTGTAACAACATCAAATTATGCAGCAGTGCTGTGCTCTGTTGTGGAATCGTGTCCTCCGACAGAAGTTTTAAAGGCTTGGGATAGGTTTAGACTCAACAGAGAAGTTAAAGAAGGGGAGTCAGTCCTTGCAAAGGAAAAGATTCTGAAAATATTGATGTCCTTCCTACATCATGAAGTAGAGGGTGAAGAACATCGTGTTTTAGCAGAAAAGGCATTTGGAAGTGGTGTTAAATGAAAAGAATTACTTGCACCAGTTCAACGAGATGAACCTACTGCTGCTACTTTAATTTCAAATATATCTGCAAGAAAAATTAGTTCTATATTCTGTGACCATCTTCATCTAAGTCAGGATTGTCAAAAATTATCAACGAGTTACAATGACAGAAAATCTTAAGTTATGCGACAAAAATGCTGTCTTGTTTGCCTTAAGCCTCGTCATATGGCCAAGCAGTGTCACAGTAATGTGAAGTGTTTGATTTGTGCACGAAGGCATTACGCATTACTTTGCCCAGATTTACATAAAGATATCAATTCCTCATCAAAGGACAAAGTAGCAGATGAAAAGCAAAATTCTACAGAGACTCTATTGACAAATCTTCCTTCAGAACGTGAAATATATTTAAAAACAATCACGATCAGATTACGGCACAGGGGCAAGGAAATATGTGTTCAAGCATTAATGGATGATGGATCGCATCGTTCCTATATTGAGAAGAGCTTAAGTCTGCCTCCTTCTGGAAATAAAGTGTTATCTCAAGGCCTGTTTGGCGGAGGAATTTCACCAGTTGCTGAGCATAATAGATATACAGTAACTATTGAAAGTTTAGATAGAAAATATTCTACTTCTATGTCTCTGCTTGATCAACAGAAAATTTGTTCAACGCTACCCAGAATATGTGATGAAACATTGCTGAGCTTGCATCTCAAGGAATAAAACTGAAAGATGTTGGAAGAGATACGCCACCTGTACAAGTTCTTCTGGGAGCCGATGTACCTAGGAGCATTTTGACTGCAAGAATTCAGATATTTACATATGGAGTTTCAGCTATAGAGACTTTACTAGCTTGGACAATTTTAGGACTAAGCAAGAAAAGGCAAGTGGTTTATGCGGGCACATTAAATCTTCAAAATTTTGAGTTGCCGAAGATATGGGATTTATAAGTTTTAGGGACTACAAATCCTGTAGAAAGAAAAAATAAGATCCTTCTTGAAGAAGAAACTTTGATCCATTTTAAGAAAACCTAAAAGACATGGCAAGATGGACGTTATGAAGTAGCTTTGCCATGGCTAGCTAGGCGTCCTGCTCTTTATGATAAGTACAATTAGCTGAATCGTGACTTCGCACGGTAACAAAATGTTTATTAAACGAAAATAACTCTGAAGCCTACGATGCATTATTCCAACAGTGGAAATTAGAAGGCATCATAGAAACTGTTTTAGTGGAGCTGTTTAAGCTTAGTCATTTATCTCCCTCATAGACGTGTTATCAAGCCATCCAGCAGTACTAGGAAGGTTCGCCCAGTGTTTGATGCTATGCTTCTTTCAACCGGCCCGGATATGTTTCTTTAAATGGGTGTTAGACTGAGTCTGACTCATCTGATGGTTCCCATGCCAGGAATCAAATTCAGGCCGCTGGGGTGAAACGCTTGGGCCTCATGGTAATGAGATTCCGGAAGATGTAAAGGTAATTTAAAGCGATCGTCGAGTAGTGCCTGTTAAACGGATGGACTTGTGAACTGCTATTGACACTTTTTCCTAGACTTAGATAATTGTAATGCTTTTTTGTATGTTCTTTAATGTTACATTCACTTGTTTATAGTTCTTAATTCAGTTTCATACCATGCATTAAAACTTATGTCTGTTATATATGTATACATTTTCATTGCTTCATTTTACGTTGCTTTTAAGGCAAACTTGCCTGCAATGCAAAGGGGATGAGGATGTTGCAATCCTATTAAGTTTAGCATTTCCTGTTTGTTATTATTTAATCATTTGTTTTGTAGTTTTATTCGATGTTTGAATTTGGCAACCAGTTTTGTTTTTTAATGTTGTGATCGGAAAATTCCCG